ACTACTACTACTACTACTACTACTACTACTACTACTGCCACTATACATACTACTACTAGGACGACGACGACGACGACGATGACGACGACGACGAGGAGGAGGAGGAGGACGACGACTATACTACTATTACCCTGATCTTCCAAAAGTCTCTATTTAGAGGTTCCACCCTTATTTAAAGACTATAGTCTTTATTTTTTCAATGAAAAACCTCTAAATAAGGTCTATAGACTCTAATTAGAGGTTAAACCCCTTAAAATAGAGAAGGTACCTCCTCTATTTAAAGCTTTAAGCTTTAAATTAGAGACCATAGTCCTTATTTAAGGGATGTTCCAAAAGCCCTTATTTAAGGGATGTTGACTGGCAAGAGAAACGACATATTTTCCATGTTAGAGTCCACTTCAGAGCTCCGGCACATCGTGCTGTGCTCAAACACAGAGAGCCCCACTGCTTTTGCAGTGCTTCCCCCACCTCTGGGCTCGGCCAAGAGTGCAATCCTACCGCCCCATGACTCCTCAGTGTATGTCCAGAAGGCAGACGGCGGAGTGCTAGTCTGGACAAGTTCGAGAAAGGCGTGCAGCTTTGGCTTGGCCGGAAAAGTCTTCCAGCCATGAGCCGCGGAGTAATCACCCAGCGCGACATAGAGAAGGGCGAAGCGCAGGGCAGCCTGTTCTAGAAGTTCTCTGTGAAAGGCCTCTTTGCTCAGCTGCTGGTAGCAGACCTGCAACTGCAGGGCGGCTGCTGCTGCAGTGGCGGCCGCAGGCTGTGTGTGGTCGAAGAGCTCGTTTGTGACCTCGACCGCGAAATCAATGAGGTCCCTAGCTTCACCGGCTTTCGCCCGCAAGCGGGCATAGGCGCCAGGCTGCTTCCAGATCATTGTGGGCTTGAGCTCCAGCAAGCAAGAAGTCTTGCAGGTTCTCTTGTAGTAGGCCTTCATACGCAAGTGTAGAGCGCTGCACTTTTGCGCTTGGTTGCCCTCGAGGTAATCGCAGGCCCAAGCCAAGATGCCCCCTAAGAATTCCAAGGAGATGCCCAAGTCAGTGGTGTGGAGCCAATCCATTTGGAAGGTTTCGGTGGTGACAAATGGAATGTTGAAGGCTGGAGAAATCGATTTCCCATCAGCCACCATCCTGACCAAGAGATCAGCATGGCAGAGGCGGTGGCTGGGCTGTCGCCAGTCGGAGTTGGAGGCCACTTCGCGAATGCGGTCTGGCGTCATATCACATCGATAGCAGCAGCCAGTTTTGTCGCGCCAGCCAGGGAAGCGAAAGACAGACTTGAGGGCTGACCAATCACCTTTGATTTCCAGCAGCACCCCACGGGGCAAAGGCATGGCAGAGCCCAAAGCCTTCTTCCTCCAGGCATCGGTGTCGTCAAATGGCTTTCCGTCTGATCTGGTCTGAGGCCAACAGCCAGTGGCCAACTCTTTCATGAAAGTGGCCAACTCTTTCGCTTTAAGTGGTCCACAAAGTTGCCACCGTAGAAGACATACATGAACTTATCCAACTCTTTCTCCTCAGGGTGCTCTTTCTTCTCGGCTTTGAAGGCAAACTTCTCGACCGACTCAGCAATTAGGTGCTGCACCAGAGAATCCTTGCGCTCAAAGGTCATCGAGTCCGGCTGGAAGGCGTTCATCTCCAAAATCTGGTTCCTGGCAGGGCCGCAAACAAAAAATGTTCCTTGGGGGTGGGGACCGCTGTGGGAGTTTTGTTTCAAAAGAGTCCTTGTAAAAAACCTTCGCGCAGCTTGTCACGGGACTCCGTAGCATCCGTGTGTTGGTTCTCCACACTCATGAGCCACTGGGTATTGTTCTTGCCGCCAGCAGCTTCGAACTCTTTGAGCAGGCCCTCCTTTTCAGCCGCTGTCTTGCTCCAGTACATGTCCAAAAACTGCTGAGCCTGTGACTTCTTCTCTGCATCCTTGGAGTGGTTGGCCCTGTACTTCATGAGGTTCAAGACACGCTGCTGAAGCTGCACCTTCTCTGCAGCACTGGAGACGGTTTCTACCTCCAAGGCCTCAGTCGACTTGCCCCTTTTGAATTTAGCCCCAGCAGCAGGCTCTGCCTTGGCCTTGGCTTTAGCAGCAGCTTTGCCAGCAGCAGGCTTTTTGGGCGCAGCAGCCTTACCAGCAGCAGGCTTCTTGGGCGCAGCAGCCTTGCTCGCACCAGCCATGGCAAGGACAAGTGGTACTCAAGACAAGTGGCCTCACAGACAGGGAGCTACTCAGGGGTGGAAAAGCTGAGAGCAGCGCCAAGCAAGAGCTGCAGCTCATCTCTCTCTCTCTCTCTCTCTCTCTCTTTGTCTCAAAAAAAAGAGAGAGCGCATCGCACTTGCCATCCTGTACGGTGCTCCCAAAAACCGGCAAAAGACAGACAAACACATCGACCCAGCAAGAGAAGAACAAGAAAGGGGACAGGAAGGAGAAACAAACCGGAAGGACAAGATGTGCAATATGTTATGTCCTCAGGTCCTGACTCACAAAGAGCAAAGGACGCCAAGGTCTAGCCCCACCAGTCCAATGAACAAACATCTACTCCAAAGTCTGGGAAACAGACATTGAGCAGAAAGCCTGCGCAGCAAAAATTTTCAAATTTGAAAAATTTTCAAAAATGTTCCTTTTAATATTAAATTAAAAGGTAGACTTTTGAAAAAAATCAAATTTGAAAATTTTGGTGGGTGTGCGTGTGTGTGTGTGTTGGTGTTGCGCGCACAACTGCTCCAAAACTCACAACTCGAGTTTGCTTCCAAAGCCACAACCGTTGAACTCCTATCTGTTTGTTTAACAAAGGAAACATTGCCAAATCCAAAGCCACTCAGCTGGCATATTTTTCCTGGCTACAGGATTGGTCGCTGTGACCGGTATGGATTCAGGGCATCTCCTGGCCCACTATACTTATAGGTGCCTCTGGTGAGTAGGGTCTGGGATCCAAACATATATACCAACCCTTAAAAAACAAACCCTTGCACTGAACAGGTGGTTATATATATATATATATATCTTCATTCATTTGAGGGGTTATACCCACAGACCCAAACATGTTCCAGTGCAGGCTCTAGGAGCTCAGGCGCCACTCTTGGATGTGGCGGAAAACAGCCAACGCGCGGCGCCACATGAGGCATGTGGTGCTCAAATCCGGGGACGCGTCCAGCTCAAGGTTCAACGGGTTCTGCGTGCGTGGAACGACTTCCCACTTGGCGTCAGCAGCAGCAGGCCGAATGTCCTCGAAGGTCTCATCGCTCTGTCCTGCACAGGGTCAGGTGTGCGAAACAGACAAACATGCATTCATTCAGGCCTGACTCCCAAGAGCAAAGGCCCAAAATCATGCGCAAAACACACGAGTTCAAACATATATTGTTTTTGGTTTTGGTGGCTTGCTCCTGACCCAGAAGGCAAAGGAGCAGGCCACCCATAGCTGCAAGAACTGTCAAGTCGGTCGAGAGTCCAGGGGGAGCTGTCCAAAGTCCGCTGCTTCCTTTGAACCCGGCATGCATGCATCGCACACTTTGAGCTGCTGCAAGTCGACTCACTCACTTCAGACCTTGCGCCTCTCTATACATCTAGGCCTCCTGACCTCCCTACGAAGCTAAGGATGCCGTGACTGCCCTGGTGCACTGCTGAACCGTGTGCGCGCGCGCGTATGTTGTGCTGTGCGCGGGGAAGCGACATGAACAGGACGAGATACAGAGGGGTCGACAATCGGGGAAAGAGACAAGACCAAACAACAAGACCAAACCAAACACAAATCTCCCCCAAAACAAATTTTGCTTTTGGTTCGCAGCTGTGCAATCAAAGAAGGCCCCGCTTCCGCCAACACGACGGAGTGCAGCCCCTGCGATTTCTGCAGGTTCCACAGCCTTTGGGCCGGAGCTTCTGTCGCTCCGTCCCTAGCATGGTTTTGCCTGTCTTTTCATTGTACAAATCTGGCAGAGGCGACAAGCTTTCCTCCGAATTGGCCTCCCCCTCAGATGCCAGGGCTGCAGCAGCAGGCGCGGCTGCGGGTCGCTTCTGCGCGGGTCTCTTTTGCGGGTTGCCAAATCCTCCAACAAAGTAGGGCATTCAGTTTCTTCTTGGGCGCCGTCTCGCCAAGTTGCCACTAGGAACCCATTGCTCCCAGCGCTCATCTTAGCTTCCTCCCGCCGCCCACCCGGATGCATGCGCACTGCCACACGCTTCTCCCACTCAAAGAAATGCGCCACAGTCGCCCCCTCTTTCAAATCCGGCGCTGAGCTCGCCACTGTCAAAGCCTCGGAGGGGCGTGGAGCCAAGCGCCTGACTTTCTTTGGCGGTGACACACCCATGGCAGCAAACACATCCTGTTGGAGAATGCCCGCATTGTCCGAGCTGGTTGTGTCTGGCCTAGCGCCTGCGCTTGAGGACGCGGCAGTTCCTGACGCCACCGGCAACGGTGTCGCAGAGGATCTGCTCAGGTCGCGCAATCGCTTCACCACACGGAGAACAGAAGCTGCGGTCTTTGCCCCTGACGTCACAGATTTGGCCTTCGTCCTGCACTCTTTGAATGATGCCTTGTGCAACTGCTGGGCAAACATGGCCTTCTCAGAAGCCTGCACTCCAGTGAATGCTAGCTTGGCAGCAGCTTCCAAGGCTGAACGGTTGGGTCGCTCTGTCAAAGCAAGGATGTCCAACATGAGTTCTTCGTATTCTGTCACCACATCTTCATAGTTGCTCGCCCTGTATTTCTCCTCGTCCAAGTGGCCCACATGCAGGCGCATCAGCCTGCATAGCTCCGCTGCGCTTGCTGTGTTGCGCGCGCGGCCGCCGCTCATGGCTGCCTCAAAAAAAAGGTGCTATATCCAGGCGGCAGCGACTGAGTGGGCACGCACAGAAGCTCACTGCATTTCAGGTCATTGCAAGCACTCATGTGGACTCTTTCAAATGAAAATCCCTTAAATTAATTAAAGACTATAGTCCTTAAATAAGGTTGATAGAAAACCCTTTAAATTAAAATAGAGACTTTTGGAAGATCAGGGTACTATTACTATACCATTCCTCCTCCTCCTGCTGCTGTCTCCTTGCCAGACTGACAAAGGTGTGAGGCTCCCGGCTGACTCAATCTCCTGCGAGTGGCGCTCCACTGATTCGCCCAGCAATCGCTCCAGGTATTCCACTCCTGCAACTTTCGGCTTAAGGCCATTCCCCATCAGGCTTGCCCCTCTCTGAGGCCAAAACGTTTCTGCGTCGTTGTGATGATTTGTTCCTGGGACAGTAGTTTGGCCTAGGCCCAGCATTGAACATAACAAGCACAGGCCTCGTCAGCAGTATGATTCGATATGATTTGGATTGGTTTGATTTGGCAAAGGATTCCAAACGCGCGCGCCTTCTGTTCTTTGACATCATTCTGCAACGGCATGATGTTAGAAGACAGCCCAATGCCCACGTTCTCTTTCAAGGCTGAAACCTGTCCGCAAATCGAGCGGCTAGCAGTCGAACTCAACAAGAATCAGGGGAGAGCGACAGCAACCTTGATCAAAAAGACCGCCGGTTAAATGATATAGGCAACATCGCTATCTTGTTTCGTCAGTTTTGGGCGGACCCCATCGCGCTCATGCGTGAATAGTTAGTTTGGCTCTGTGAAACCCGTTTTAGTTTGCGCAAAAAAATGATGGTGACAGCATATCATACAATCACGCATCACATTCCAGAAACGTCTACGTCGTGCGTTTTCCCAAATGACAGCAAATGGCACCACAACAAAGACATACTAAAAAGTAGAAATGAAACAAAACCCTGCATTTATGCATGTTATTGATGACGGTCAATTATATAGTTTAACAATTTAAAAATCAAATCATTGAGGCTCAGGCTCTTCTGCGTCCCAAAGCCTAGTATCTCAACATATTACTAGCGGCTTACACGCACTTTGAGTTGGTACGAAGGCCGCTAAATGCCTACTAGTAGAGGAGGCCTAAGGAAACAGCACCTGAAGAAAACCACGGACAATCAAGTATAACAGTATAACAAAAAAATTGCGGTGGCTTTCAAAAATCGAGGAATTCCACGTTCACAAACGCCAAAAGGCTTCAAAGGTTTAAGAACTTTCCATTTTCACAAGGCTCAGTCAGCCGGCTTGCTTATGGTATAGGTGCCCCGGACAGCTGGATGATCTCAAGCTTGTGGTCCCTGTTTGTCATTAGTAAGTTGAGGAAGGCGATTCAGGCGATGGCGAGCAATTATAGAACACCGTGAGGAACTACTAAATATTGAAACTTTGGATAGCGCAGGCTGAGGAAAGGAAGAAAGGCGGGAGACGAAGGAAGGAAGGGGAAGAAAAAACCAGAGAAACCTGGGCAGGCAAGCAAGCTACCGCGCGCGAACAAACAAACCTGCGAACAAAGAAGAGAGAAGGAAAACAACAAAACGTCACCTCCCTGCGCCAGGTCGACCGCAGACCCAAGAGACACCTACACAAACAGGGTGGAAGAAGGAAAGAATTGGACTTCCACGAGTCCGCAAGCAGACTCGGACCACTATCTCCACGACTAGCTGTTAGTGTTCGTTACGCTCTGCATTCATGCGGATTCTTCAAGGTTTAGTGTTTGTGGGGCAACTCAATCGGCTATACGCTGGTTTAAATTTTTTTCTGCTGGCTCCAGGCTGCTATGGTTATCGTCGTGATTGGCAATTGCGTCCACTGGGGCACTGTGCGGGTCCCGGCTCTCATACGAGCGCAAAAGAGCGCCGGACGAAGTTGAAAATTGGTTATCCATTGCGTAGAACGGGTCATCCCCCATCACGCAGGTTTGTAGGGTTACCCTCAGCAAGCTTTGTTGGCGGCATCAAGTTCGGCGCGCCAACAGGCACGGCAGTTGCACAAGCTGTGGGGAAGTTGCTCTTGCATGGACACAAACATGTTCAAAGTGAGTATCGGTCGGCGTCGTTTGGGTGATATACGCACTGCAGTGCCAAAGCTTTTGCGCGCCGTGCAACAGGTCGGTTTGAGCCACGCCTTTTGACTGCAATGTTTCACAAAGCGATTAGCGCTGTAGCGCTGTGCGCGCATCCAAACCAATCGCACCCCGCCCAAGTAGACAGCGTAGCGTAAAAGTGTTAGGCCAGAACTACCCAAAGTAGTGCGCAATGGGTTTAAGCTCTTAGAGGTGAACGATAAAATCCCAACCCATCCCACCACAGCATAGCGTAGAAGTGGTAGGCCAGAAGTATGAAAAGTATTGCACAATAAAAGCAAGGGGCCGATCAGCACGTCGTGTCCCCAAAAGACGGACAACATACGAGAAGAAGACCACGCAACGTTGTGAAACCAATGGCAATGATGACAATGTTGCGATCGTTGACAAACAAAAAGCACATACCTTAAGTACCATGCATTTTTTACATAATTGTTCGAAGCCATAATTATCCCGGCAAGACCCCAAACAGTGTGCGCGAGGTCCATGAGCAGAAAGTGTAGAGATCTAGACGCATTGGGGTCCAGAGAGGTGATGGTGGTGATGAAGGTGGGGATCGTGTGAGTGTGAGGGAGTGTGAGTGTGAGAGTGAGAGAGTGAGAGAGTGAGAGAGTGAGAGAATGAGAGAGTGAGCGTGAGAGTGAGAGTGAGAGTGAGAGTGAGAGTGAGAGTGAGTGAGAGTGAGAGTGAGTGTGAGTGAGAGTGAAAGTGAATATCTGAGAGCACAATTGCCACGAAATCTGCATTTCGAGGTTCACAAAGCGCTGTGCCTGCCACAAAATCTGCACTTCGAGGTTCACCAAGTGCTGTGCCCGCTACGAAATCTGCACTTCGAGGTTCACCAAGTGCTGCACCTGCCACGAAATCTGCACTCCAAGGTTCACCAAGCGCTGCGCCTATACCACGAAATCTGCACTTCGAGGTTCACAAAGTGCTGCGCCTGCTCCGAAATCTGCACAAAGCGCTGCGCCTGCCATGAAATCTGCACTTCGAGGTTCACCAAGCGCTGCGCCTGCCACGAAATCTGCACTTTGAGGTTCAGCAAGTGCTGTGCCTGCCACGAAGTCTCCACTTCGAGGTTCACCAAGCGCTGCACCTGCCACGAAATCTGCACTCCCAGGTTCACCAAGCGCTGCGCCTATACCACGAAATCTGCACTTCGAGGTTCACAGAGGCGCTGCGCCTGCCACGAAATCTGCACATCGAGGGTCACAGAGCGCTGTGCCTGCCACGAAATCTGCAAACGAGCCACATGTCCAAAAGTCACGATTCACTGCACCTGTCACGAAATCTGACCTCCTCGACGATCACCACCATGTCCAAAGTGCTGCACCTGCCACGAATAACTGCATTTCGAAGTCAAACACCTCCGATCCCTTGCACCTGTCACGAAAAGTCGACTTTGGAGCACCAGAGCACGAGGTTTCCCTTGCGCCTGCCACGAAAAGTGATCACCATATGCGAAAATGCGCGCGGCACCACACAATGAGAGCGCAGTCGTTAGAAGCACCCGCCGCAGACACCCAGATTCAGCGAGCCTGCGCAGTCGAAATGCACATTGACGATGTCGAGAGGCATGAATGCGCTGTAAATAGCAGCGAATTAGCCGCACACGCCCGCGCGCTTCAGCGATCTAAGCATCAGCTGCTTTTCACCTACCGTAAGAACCCCTAAGTGTGTCCACACTGTTTGGGAAAAAACCACAGAAAATGCTTATGGCAAATGCGACGCTCTTCCTGGCCCTGTGGACACACGACATGGACACACAGAAAGTGTTGTAAATACCATGCGGAGTTTGCAAAAAAACCTTCGAAATGCTACGGCCGTCTACGGGCGGCAGGCCAACTACATAGTCCAGTTGCGCAGCAGCAGCAGCAGACTTGTGTTATTCAGCTGCAAAACAGGTCCAGTGGCGTAAGCAACTCAAACTTAGAAGAGCAACATACCGAGTGTTTGCGCCAGCTACAGATGTAGAGTGGCAGCGTGCTTCCTCAAGAAGAATTTAATTGGTACATCAGACAGGTCGGCTCCCATCAGTGACACGGGTTTGATGCAGGTTTCCAATCTGTCAAGGCCACGCCGTGACTACTTTAGTCTTCGTCAGATTTTGTCGGATGCTCATATATGAGAGACACGCTTGAGATTGAGTACGCACGAAGGCCGCCAATTGCCTGGAAGAGGTCTGAAGAAACAATGTTGTATAACATGTGAATCGCAGAGGTGTTCGTGTTCCAAGTTCACCAGCACCAAAAGGCCTCAGACAATTCTGCAATTATAGGTCCGTGAACTTTGGATGCTAGAGCCTTGTGAATTTCAACTTGGACTGCCGAGCGCAAGCCGTTGCACACCGATGACAAACAAACACCAAAAGCTTGAGATCCTCCAGCCTCACCCACAGACCCAGGAGCGATCAGCGCAGGTACGTGTCCACGACGACATAGATGGGTCTTCGTTAGCTCATGCCATCTATGCGCCCACGAGACCCCTGCTGTAAAAGGTCTAAAGGCAACCCATGAATCAAAGATGCGCACGCGCTACACATACACACAAACACACAAACAAACAAACAAACAAACAAACAAACAATCAATCAATCAATCAATCAATCAGACAAACAAACAAACAAACAAACGAACGCCCCCCCAAAAAGGAAACACTGCAAACTGGCCTCTCCCTGCAGAAGGCCAAGGTCTCGGATAAAGATCGCCGTTTGTTCCCTGATCAAACGCAGCTGCGACTGATGCAATTCCATCTCCTGCCACTCGCTTCTCAAATTGCTACACGACACAATTCATAAACCTTTTTCTTGCTCTGGTCCAGCAAATATCCTAGGCTTTGTTGAATCTCTTGGGTGTGGTTCTGCCAATCTCTCTGGTGTTCTTTTGTCTTCCTTTTCAAAGTGTTGTCTCCTGGCTTGGTGTAGCAAGGCCGGTGCCCTTGAAGCTGTGGCTTTCTATTTGATTACTTCGACCAGGCTTGCAGCCAATGGGTACCCTTTAGTTCTTGCGCCCAATGCTTGCTTTTGCTTTCTGATGCCCGCTTCTACTCTTTCCACAGGAGTTGGGCCTGTTGCACCTGTTGCTTTTCAGTGGTTGTTAGTCAAGGAAGTGGGCAAAAACAGAGAGTTTGGGGGTCCGGCTTTGGTAGTGATTTCCCAGTGCCGGGTCCCTTTGATGTTATTGTACAGTATCATCTCTGGAATTCTCCAATGTGAGGAATGCTTTGTGTATTTTTGCCATTTTTTCCCAAGGCAACTCATACTGATACTGTTTCCGCAGGAAAGGATATTGTGCAACAGTGTTTCTGGCACTAGCTGTCAACTCCAAAGTGGGTAGGACACATAACTTGCTACAGTAGGATGCCGGTATTGATTTCCCAGCTGCATGGGTCTTGGAACCTTTCACTCTATCGTCTCTTTTTGGTGTGATGTTCTCTTGCTGTATTCCAACTCAGTTCAATTTGTTGTTTTTGGCAGGGTACCTTTGGCTGACAGTATGTAAGTAAAACCATTGTGGGGCGTTGTGTGTTTGCTGCGATGTCTTGATACATCTGAGAGTTCGGCAACTAACATTGAATTGGTCCACAATGAAGCTGTGTTGGCGATTAACGTAAGTGACCGTAAGTGTGCTTTAAATAGTTGAGGTAGCCGAGCCAGCGCACACTTTACGCTACATTGAGCGCCTGGAAATCTGACCCCAAAACCTATAACTAAAACGAGCACGTAAATAGGTTTCAAAAATAGTGGTGCCCGACCTCCTTCTGCATGATTTCGCAGCCCTCGACTATATGCTTGAACTTGAACCGCTCCATCTGTTTTTCAGTTAAGCATCAAGCATTGTTGATACCAAAGGCCATTGAGGCCCTTACGCAACCGTTCTGACTTATACCACGGGATGTGGGGCACAAGTACAAGAAACCGAGGAGAACATGTCAACAAAGTGACAGCAAAGTGACTTCAGCCACACTGCAACTGTTGCATCTCCTTCTGGTCCAGGGTCTCGATTTCCCTTTCCCATTCTTCTTGACGTCGTCCCACCTCATCTCCAATCCTGCCTGGCGCATGAGTTACATGAGATTGTGAATGTTTAGGGGTCAAGAAATGTCGCCAATGCGCAGAAAAAAATTGCATCATTGCCACAAAATATCACTATGCCAGCTATGCATGTAATTAGCAGTGACAGCAAGGCTACAGCCAAACCAAAGCATCGGAAGGTTACAATGTTCGGTCAGTGCCTGACCCAAAGCGATGACTGTCGAATGCCTTCGACCAGGAGCTTTCAATCTCTTTGACATGTGTCAATTCAGTTTCTTCTTGCCAGGCGGCTAAGCGCGACGATGGAGAGGACATGGCTTTGAAGAGATATTGTGAGCTTGGAACATTGAGCTTGAAACGCGCAAGAAAGCAAAACAAAATGCAGGTGTTCTTTGTAGGGCTGTGCACGCGCAAATAAACCAAGTTTCTGTTGCAGCTGATGGCGTCAAACGAATACTGATTCTTTTTCTGAGTGAACATTCCCGCTGTGCTTCGCTGGGCTCATTCACTGCTCTCCTGCACTCCGAGAATGTCTCAAGCAAAGATCATGTAGTCTTTTGCCTTTGCCGATCGCCTCATCATTGACCTCCTCACTTTCGTCCTGAAAATAAACACTACAAAATCCCTACCCATTATGCAGGGGGGGACCTGAAAAAATGTAACTTACATGTTCCTGTTCGAGGGTGCCTGGAAAATGTAAGTTACACTTTCTCAGAAGCCCCTGGAAAATGTAAGTTACAATTTCCAGGCATCCACAGGCAGAAAATGTAACAATCTGCAAAAAATGTAAGTTACAATTTCCAGGCAGTCTGCCTGCAACTGTAACTTACATCTTGAAGGTCATAAACTGCAGCATGCTGTAGCAGTTTTTCCCTCTGCGCTTTTCGTAAGCGCCCACCTGCTTGTGTGTTGCCTGGGGCACACTTAGTTACATTTTCCACTGCCCAGCGTTCTCCCTGCCAGCCACAGATGGTTCCCTGGCCTGTGTGCCACTGGAGGGTTTGCTTCCAGCATCCTTCTTCCAGCATCTCTCAGTCATTGGCAACCACACTGCAAAAAATGCTTGGCCACCCCTGTCTCACACCTCCCAAGCCCAAAAAGGAAAAAACAATCACAAAAGGACCATAATAAATGTAACTTACTGTTTGTCCATAATAAATGGCATGTGCCATCGTGGAACCAAATGCTCTACATACACATGCAAGCTCCACGAAGCTAAAAGCGGGGGAGAACAAATGTAACTATATATACACCTGTGAGACTACCTTGGAGGTATCTTGTTACATTTCTTCCACCCCCCCAAAAAAAATAACCAGGCGACAGGGGGTGCAAAAATGTAACATAGGCCCTGGGAGGTCCATAGTTACATTTTATAGGCACCCTCCCCCCCAGAGATCCTGAAATCTTGCCTGGGAGGGGGGGTTGTTACATTTAGGGTCCCCCCAAAAAAATGTAAGTTACATTTTTGAGGTCCCCCCTCGAAAACTCAGTAACAGGGTGGGGGTACTACAAAGATAGTCGATCATGTATTGAAATGTGGAGGTTTGCCTGTCTACTATGAGAAGCCTCAGCGAATGGTTGGTTTGCAGCGTACAGATGGCACGCGCATCATGGCATGTGGTCTTCCACTTCCCCATTGCAAAATCTGTTGCAGCTTGCTTGCATCACCCTTTCAAACAGGTGGACGCCCAACAACGACTGGAAACACAGGTTGGTGTGTGTGTGTGCCCCTTGGAAACACAGGGATCCTGTAGGATTGTTGAGCAGGGGGACGGGACACCACTGGCATTTCCCGTCCAACGAAGAGGGTGCCAGTAGGTGCTGCAGATGCAGTTGGGGACGCCCCACTGCGTGGTTTTAAGTTTGTGTTTGTGTCTTGTGAACCTGTAGCGGCAGCGCTGGCCTCATACCTGGTGCGATGGCCTCCAACGCACTAGAACTGACCCCTAAGCTTGACTCAACTTGTAGCGCTGGCCTCCAACCTGGTACTCTGGCCTCCAACCTACCAGCGATGACCTCCAACCTTGTTGCTTGGTGTCGCTTTCAGCTTGTGCGCCTAACCTACTAGCGATGGCCCCTCAACCTGCTCTCGACGGCCTCCAACCTTTGAGCGATGACCTCCAACTTTTTTGCATTGGTTTACTCAGGTTTTTAACTTTAGGCGTGTGGCACCGTATTCACATCAGTACGCACTTCTATAAGTGTGTCTCTCCTAGTGAGAGTCCAGGGTGATCCCGAAGAGTGTGGCGGGGACTACTTGGATCAACCGAGTTGTACCACAATGGAAAGAGAAGCAGTGGTTCAAAGCAAGTTTGCCGTTCTGCTTGAAGTGGCGATAGCGGGCATCCATGGTGTGCTTCGCATATCGGTCGTGCATGGAATGTGTCCACCGTTACTGTCCAAACCAGTCTGTTCTGAGCCCCGCGGATCGGACATCACCACAATCTCTGTGTGCTCTTGCATCACAAAATCACTCGAAATCGATTTCGTCGTCGTGTCTCCAAAATCGTTGATGGGAATGACGTAGTGTCCACCTTTGGATTGTTCCAGGCCATACCCCTTCACACCAAACCTCCGTGATGATACTGTGTGTGAAGCCGTATCTATGACCAGACCCAATGCTGGCCCCTGTGGACCCGTCGAACGGGCGTTTGTCTTTATCTCCCCTGCCCGGAGATGTACGTGCCCAGAGCGGGCGGAGTAGGCTTGTGCCAAAGTTATTTGCCAAGACTTGCTGAAGTATTGAATTCTAAGCTGGCTTATGCCTTTACGTGACCGTAGCGGTCAAAGCTGCCAGCCATTTTTGGCACGGCGTACGTGGCCGCAGCGGCCGAAGCTTGTTCAAGACTCGTTGGAGTCTGTCGGGACCTTAGTTCCTTTCCTCCCCGTACCCTCCCCTTCTTCTCTCTTTGCCTTTTTGGAGTATTCCTGAATGGAACACTCAGGTATACCCCTCTCCTTACTGTGTCCCTGGATGCTTGCGCGTAGCTGGGAACACCTGTGTTCGTCCCTTTCCTTTTCTTTTCTCCTTTCCCTCTCTCTCTCTCTCTCCCTCTCTCTCTCTCTCTCTTTTTCTCTTTCTCTCTTTTTCTTTTTCCTTTCTCCCTCTTCCTTCTTTTTTGGGTGTCCCTGGATGCTTTCGTCATAGCTGGGAACCCTTCTCTTCTTCTCTTGGTGTGTCCTTGAACGCTTGTGTTGTAGCTGGAACACCTTCCTTTACTTTCCTTTCCTTTCTTCTTTTTCTTTCTTCTCTTCTCTCCCTACCCCTCCCTCCTGTCGGACCTTAGGGCTCCTGGCCTTACGAGATGCCTCCTTCTCGGGGAGGCGTGTGTGTGTGTGTGTGCGCCCCTTCAAATCACAGGGATCCTGTAGGATTGTTGAGCACGGGGACGGGACACCACTGGCATTTCCCGTCCAACGAAGAGGGTGCCAGTAGGTCCACTGCGTACCTGCTCAACCTCCAGCGCTGGCCTCAAACCTGGTGTGATGGCCTCCAACGCGCTAGAACTGACCCCTAACCTTGTTGTTTTACTGGTGCTTTTGTCGATTTGTAGCGCTGGCCTCCAACCTGGTACTCTGGCCTCCAACCTACTAGCGATGACCTCCAACCTTGTTGCTGGGTGTCGCTTTCAGCTTGCGCACCTAACCTACTAGCGATGGCCCCTCAGCCTGCTTTCGATGGCCTCCAACCTTAGAGCGATGACCTCCAACTTTTTTGCCTTGGTTTACTCAGGTGTTTAAACTTAGGCTGGCGTGTGGCACCGCATTCACATCAGTACGCATTTCTATGTGTGTGTGTGTGCGCGTCTCTACGCAGGGGGCTGGGGATTCGTGCAGTCAGCGGCCAACGAAGACGCTACACGTTTCCTGCGCAAACGTACCTGCTTGTTTCACCTGCGTGTTGAACTGTCGAACAAGCTGTTCACACTACTTTTGTGTAAAGTACTAACGAGTGTGTTCAAGATGTCTGTTCCTCGGACTTTTCGCCTCACCGTTCTGCAAGTCAAGGTCTAATCTTCAGTATGGTAAAGTGCTAGCATCACCGGACAATCACAACTGATTATGCTCTTGCAAGCCTATATATATTATATATACATATTATATATACAGTATCAATTTTGTGTGTTGCGGCAAAGTTTGCCGCATGCTGCAAAGTTCCCTCATGTTCCAAAACGATCCAAAACAATTGGCTCGTCTTGACAGACTTGTCTTGCCTCGACTGCCGCTTCGGAACTCGATGCTGAGCTACCACCTCAATGCCCCAACGTTGTCTCACACTTTGACAAACATATGTTATGCAAGTGCTGTTTTTGCTTTTTTTTTCAGCATGAGTACCACTACAGCACTCTATGGCACATCCATTCAGCAAAAACAGTAGCAGGAGCTCAAAGAACTCATAAGAACTCAATAAGCTCCACAAATGCTCGGGTTTGCGCCGGAGCTTCTGGAACGGCCAGTGCTTCCGCTGGGTGATGCCTGAAAACCTGGACCACCAGCCGCAACCTCACAGAACGCATTCCGAGGCGCAGACTTTGAACCCTTGGGAGTCCGGCCGCGGACTAACATAATTTGTTGGTTCGACCCAACCACAAGCTCATGAGTGGCAGCCGGTTTGAGTGGTGAAGACTATTGGCTAATGGATGCATAAGGATGCTAATGGAAAAATGAAAGAAGTGGAGTCCACTGGCCTGTGGCAATCGAAAGAACGAATTGTAATGATGGTTTCTTTGGTCAACTTATTTCAATTTGAAATGCAGACATGCCGGAGTTATCCAGAGTTTCACCTGGAACTGTGGTGCAGCGGTGTACAAATGTGGCATCGAGTCTCAAGAGTGTCTTTAAGTCAGGCATAAAATCGCACTCATGGTGCCCATCTGTGACATAGAAGTCGCATAAAGAAAAGAAAGGGCATAAACAATTTGTTGTAAAATACATTGAATTTGTTGTAAAATACACTGAATGGATCTGAATGGTGTGTTCACAAATAGGTGCAAGGTCACACAAACCAGTTCTTGGAAGACTCTACGCCCCAATTTCACATCGTGAGCTGTGCCTGTTCTCGGAGCTTTGAAGCCAAATGGGCAGCCTTGGCTGTTGCCATGGCAACCTCAACAGAAGGTCCAAAATTGATCTGAATACTTAGATAATCTTAAACAACTCTCAACCATGTGTTGGCTTGCAGCACCCATGCAGTAGTACGTCACGTTACGTCACTTTCCTTGTGTGCCTCGTCGCCCATTCCATGCTTTTTGGTGCGTACCGTGACTTTGCTTCTGACCTGAATTGGATCAGACATGCTCAACTCACAAACTCACAGCTGGAACCGCAAACTCGCGCTCTTGTGGCGACCCTTGTGATTCTGGAACGTTTGTGCTTTTGCAAACACAATCTTCATGTTTGTTTGTTGCTAGTTCTCCGTACCTCCACGATCTCAAGCTCTTCTTTGCAGGTAGGCTGACCAGCGTCATCGAGCACGACTTTGCTTCTCCTCTTTTGAACTTCATGGTGCTCCTTCTTGACTTGTTGCCCCTGCCCGCCGGCATCCTTCTCTTTCCTCTTCTTCTCTTTGCCTTCCTTCTTTTCCTTCTTTTTCTTGCCTTCCTTCTTCTCTTTCTTCTCTTTCTTTTTCTTTTTCTTTTTGCGTTTTTTTCTTTTCTGCCTTCTTGTTGGCCTTGTAGGCCGCAACCACCTTGCCAAAATCCAAAGTCAGAAATCGGAACAATTGCATGCACAAAGGGACACGTGTTTTTTGCAAACACACCAAGGCCGCCGAGGCCTTTTGAACAAAGGCAGCGTCCATCCGCAGGTAATCTTGTGGGCGCATTTTGGGCAAAATTCCCTGCGATTCTAGTGGGACAAAGAAGGACATGCTGAAAGGGCTGTGTCTGCCAGCTCTTGCGTTGCTGAAAGCCTCTTGAATAGAAAACTGCGTTGCCTTCTTTTTGAGGCCTTTCAACTCTGAGAGGAAAAAGTCTGGCCGCCACGCTGGATCCTGCAACATGTTTAAAGGACACCAGAGGACAAAAATTGGGATGTGCCTGGTTGAAACGGCCAGCACAAAACCCGATTGAAATACACTGGGATATATTTAGATTTAAAGCATGTCTGATGTTGTGTGCCCAACAACCTCCAAAAATGAGCTTGGAGAAAGAAAACAGGAACCAAGGAACAATTTCAATGGATCAAGCGGCCACAAAGACTACACAACAATCTGGACTGACAGCAAGGCTCAACGGAGGGTGTGTGGAGAAAGGGGGTCAGCCAAAATCGCTTATACGAAGTTAGTGCATCAAAAATACCTTCTACGAAGTTCTACGAAGGTTTCTGGGATTTTGTCGCATTCAGTTTTCCTACTGGCCCACCATTCCACGAAACGTCCACGAATAGCCCCAGGTTCCACGAATGTCCCGCGCCTTCCACGATGTTAGTAGAATAGGTTTTTGCAAAACTCTTTCTGTGCGCTACCCTTCCGTTTGCCTCTGATTGACACTGTGAACAAAAGTACAGTTATATGCACTGAATCGTGGTCAAAAAGCAATACCAGCGCTGTGCTAGAATCTGCACAGCGCGGCCAAACAAACTAGAGTGGGTTCTCGCGCACTTCATGTGCTGGGGGTCTGAAGGTTTTCCAGTTATGTGTTTTTAACATTGTATATAAATTGTTGGTACTGTTTCCCAGCCTGCGGCCGCGTGATTCTAAGCATGGCGCCGCTAGTAGGTTGGAGGCCGTCGCTGAATTCTGGTGAGGTGATCACAACATTGGCGTCCCTACTGTCTCCCATCCCCGTGCTCTCTTGCAAGCTGGCGATACTGCTTTTACAGGCTCTACATTGCTGCTGCAAACTGCAATGTAAATACCGTTCGCCTTGTTTCTCAAAATACAGGCCGCAACTGCACATGGTCAACTCTTGTAATGATTGCGCTGAAGCGGCGCGCTTGGACTGTATTGCACATGAGTGATGTGATGCGGTGCCTTCTCGCATGGGCGATGGAGGACAGGATGAAAAAAAAGAGCTGAAGAGTATCAGGATATATATCTACAATCACACATACGCAGAAGGCGGAGGCGGAAGGTACAGTAGATTGAGCGGCGGATTACAAAATAGAATAGAAGATATACAATAGAAGATAGAGTCGGGCGGAGGGTGCGATATTGCGAACTCTCTTTTGATCCTGAACCGGCCTGCGCAAATTTAGGTGAAACGTGATCTTGAAATCTTACGTACTCCTCCTTTGGGGAGTGAGCTCGCTGCACAGTCTTTTGCGTCCACACTGAAACCAACCAGCCCTTGAGGCTTCCGGTGTAGCTCACGCAGCTTGGTTCAATCTCCAACTCTGCTTTGAAATTCAATGCTATCTTCCCACTTCAACATCATCTCTTCTCTTGCCTGCAAACACGCTCGCGCGAGCAACGCGTCAATTCTCTCAACCGCATCTATTGGGCCATCTGTCGCGTCCGCCTGCTCTGTAGTCTCTTCTCCAAAACTGTAGTCTCTTCTCCTCCATCAACTTCTTGTGTCTGGCAACCTCCTTCGTCCACAAATCCTGGAACCATCTCCGGACAGGTGCTCCAGTGGAACGTTGTCCACCTCTCTTCCATCGTCGAGTAACACTGTTGCGGCGTGGCCACCCTCTCAACGTTGCTGGCGGGGTGTCCGCCCTGCTTCTCTGTTCTCTGTCCTCTGTGCTACATCTCAACTTCTCACGTTCTCCTCATAGACCATTCTTCTATAAGAAATTCTTTCTTGCGACCACTTCTTGCTTCCTTCCTCTCCCAAAGAATTCCATACGCCGTGCTTCCCAATGGCTAACGTAGCCGTTTTTGCTTCACTATGTGCCTGTGTACCCTTTGCGCGTAGCAATGCATCATTGAGCCCCATCTTGTTTGATCCTCAACGTGAACTCTCAAGTCAGCCCTCAACCCCATTGTTGCCAACCTCTCTCGGAAAACTCAAATGAAGTTCTGCGTCGCGCACTCTACCCAGAACCATGCCACGGAAACATTCTCCTCCAAACACACAGGAGCTTCTCAAGTGCATTTTGCCAATCTCTGACCCTTCGCTCTGTTCATCTCCTTCTTATCAACCTCTTGCGTCTCCTGCTCGCCGACTCTGTTGCCCTCTGCGTGAATTGGCGGGCTCCAATTTGTTTCACTTCCATCTACCATCTCCTGGCGCCACAGAAGCTTTCCGCCACTGTGCCTCAACTTGCCACTGCCTCTCTTGCGCATGATTTGGCAATTGTCAAGAAGACACACGCGCTGAACCCCTCTCCTGTCAGAACTTGAGACATCGTCTGATGAAAACTCCGTCACAAGCTCCTCCAATTCTGCGCTGCTTGGGCTGACCGTTTTCTGTCCTCTAAACATTGCAAACACCACAACGTGAAGCAAGGACGTCGTTGACTGTCGATGGGTTTTGCGTCCACCCCAGTCAGCATCTGTGAATGTCCAACAAGCACTTCTGCGTTGGCAGCTGGCAAGCCGCCCGCCTCTGGTTGGAAACGGTAGCTTCACACGTTGGCCGGCTGTTGTCTTCAAATATCTACTATCTCCTGGAACCACAGAAGCGCTGCAAGCACCAGAACTCCGTTCACTGCGTGAACCAAGGACGACTTTGAACGTCAATGGGCTTTGTCCACTCCAGTCAGCGTCTGCGCTGAATGTCTCCAACAACCACGTCTACGTTGACGGCGCGCAAATCCGCTAATCACTATACCTCTGGTTGGAAACGGTAACTTCACACGTTGGCCTGCTGTTGTCTTCAAACGTCTACTCTCCTGGCGCCACAGAAGCTTTCCACTAACACGCCTCACTTGCCACTGCCTCTCTTGCGCGTGATTTGGCACTTGTCAAGAAGACACACGCGCTGAACCTCCTTTGCTGTCAAGAGCTTGAGACATTGTCTGGCGAAAGCTCCATCACTGGCCCCTCCGACTTCTGCGCGGTGTTCACTTTCTGCACTGCTTAGGCTGACCACTCTGTGTCCTCTGCGACGCTGCGATCACCGCAACTCCGTTCACTGCGTGAACCGAGGGCGATGTAACGATGGGCTTTGTGTCCACTCCGGTCAGCATGTGTGAACGTCTCCAACAACCACTTCTGCGTTGACAGCGCGCAAATCACTCTACCTGTTACCTCTGGTTGTGAACGGTAGCTTCACACGTTGGCCCGCTGTTGTCTTCAAATGTCTACTTACTATCTCCTGGCGCCACAGAAGCGTTGCAAACTCCACAAGTCCGTTCACTGAGTGAACCAATGAACGTCCAGTCAGCATCTGTGAATGTCTCCAACAACCACGTCTGCGTCGACAGTGCGCAAATCCGCTGATCACTCTATACCTCTGGATGGAAATGGTAGCTTCACACGTTGGCCCGCTGTTGTATTCAATCAACTGCTATCTCCTGGCGCCGCAGAAGCTTTCCGCTAATGTGCCTCAATTTGCCACTGCCTCTCTTGCGCGTGATTTGGCACTTGTCAAGAAGACACACGCGCTGAACCTCCTCTCCTGTCAAGAACTTGAGACATTGTCTGGTGAAAAATCCGCCACAGACTCCTCCAACTAAAGCATGGAGTTCACTTTCTGCACTGCTTAGGTTGACCACTTTGTGTCCTCTAGACGTTCCAAAAACACCACAGCTCCGTTCACTGCCTGAACCGATCACGACATTGGACGTCGATTGGCTATGTGTCCCCTCCAGTCAGCGTCTGTGAATGTCTCCAACAACCACGTCTGCGTTGACAGCGCGCAAGTCCGCTAACTCCTGGCACCGCAGAAGCTTTCCGCTAATGTGCTTCAACTTGCCACTGCCTCTCTTGCGCGTGATTTGGCAATTGTCAAGAAGACACAGGCGCTGAACCTTTTTTTTGCTGTCACGAACTTGGGACATTGTCTGATGAAAAACTCCGTCGCAGGCTCCTCCAACTGAAGCATGGAGTTCATTTTCTGCGCTGCTCAGGCTGACCACTTTCTGTCCTCAAGACGTGGCAAACACCACAACTCCGCTCACTGCGTGAACCGATCACGATGTTGAACGTGGATGGGCTTTGTGGCTTTGTTCCACTCTGGTCAGCGTCTGTGAATGTCTTCAACAACGACTTCTGCGTTGACAGCGTGCAAAATCACTCTACCTCTGGTTGGAAATGGTAGCTTCACACGATGGCCCACTGTTGTCTTCAAATAGCCGATGAGCTTCTTCGACTCACGCTCAAAGCCGCAGGCATCGACAACTCTTTGATGGTGAAGCCGGTGAAGCTGAAGCCAACACGCTCTTTTGACAAATGCACGCCCAACTAGGGACCGAAAAAGAAACATCTCCTCCTTCCTTGCTTTGATCCTCACAATCTCAAGGTAGTGCTCCTCTTCTAGCAGACCTCTCAACACTTTCATTCCCTTCAGGCTCATCTCCTGAACCTTGTTGGCCAAAAGGTCTACTGCCGGAGTTGTCCCGTTCTTGACTCCAAAGCTCATCTGGAACGTCGAGGCCCTTGCGTATCCGTTTCTTTAGCGTCCTCATTCTCAAGTCAAGTGCCCTCTTGCGCCCTCTTTGTGGGGGGTGCTCCTCCACCAAAGTTTGTCTGAAATTCCCACGACGAAGCTGAAAATCCATAGTATGGAAGGAACCTGCTCCATGGCCGGCCCACCCTTCTCACTTCTCGTCAAAAGGATCTTTTCGCCGCCAGTCACTATCCAGGCATCTTGGGCGTCTGTCTTCCCAAAAAACATAGTCATCTTCCACTGGGGATCATACTGCTTCCCGCGCGCAAGCCCATAAGCGGTCCCACGCGCGCGCGCGCGAACGCGTCAACCCCCTGATTCGCGGCACTGAGTTCTCAGCTAATGAATTGCCAACGCCGTCCCTGACACAGGTTGACAGAATCCTGGTTGAAAGTCCAAGAGCATTGCGGGAGTTCACAAGCACTCTGAGGATCGACCGAACTGTCGGCTCAGATATCTCCACAAGAACAACCTCGTAATGTCCGAGGCTGGCAAAAGGACATAATCCCCTTCGCTGCAAAGTTGATCCGGGCCTTTGCATACTGCTGTAGAGTAAAAGGCAAAAAACAGATGGGATAAACCGCAGGATGAGATGCGCCGCAGCAAGCAAAGCGCACGGTGGTTGATCAGGTGGCTATATATGTTTGTATCACAAAATAGGCGCTGACATCTTGCAGCGTGACCCCCGCGCATATAGGCTAACGCCGGTCGGGAATGAAAAAACTACTTTCGCGAACCTCATCGCGAATCTTTTGCAGATGGCCTTAACAACGTCTGAAAGGCTGTTTTAAACATAAAACTCCTTACACGGAGGTTTAGGTTAACCCTCATTTACAAACTGGTTTTGGAAAACAACATAAATTTAAGCAACCCTTTGGCTTAGCAAAAATTTGCAGTATAGTCTTTTGGTATCAAAAGCCGACATAGACTCACAAGTATCGGTCACTGCTCGCGGTTTGCTTAGCAATATCTTGAAACGCGTTTGCGGCCGTGAGGTCCACCAGTCTTTTTCAAAAAAATGTGAGTTCGAAGTTCGAACTCAAATTCCAGCCATGTGAACTCTCGCTGCGGGACATGTTCGAGTGAGCGCATCTATGTTTGGAGCGCTTTTCGTATTTTCCGCCCCGCCCTTTACCGAGGAGGCACAATTCAATAACTCTAACTTTGACTATAGAATTTGGGCAAGACTGCTGTCCTTCCCATTGGCAAGTCTCTCCAAGAGCACATCCTGCAAAACTGCAAAGGGCTTATTTGTGGGCCTAGGGGAAGTCTTGCCGGGTCCTCTTTCTTTGCAGCATTTGCCTCCCGTTCCTTAGTCTAGTCACTTCCAGCCTTGATTGCTTGCGCAAACGCAAAAGAGTTCAGACACCAAAGAAAAGTATACTTAAACTCATAACATTCGCGCCACAATTGCCCTTTTCCTTTTGGCATGTCGGTTGAACCTTTGGCCTTTGGCAAACTAAGCGCCGTTCGACGCTGCCACTTGCAATTCTGCTCCGCAATTCTGCTCCGTGTAATCACAGGAACCCTTCAAACATGTCACGGTTTGCGTGACAAAGTGCTGTAGTTGCGCCCTTCACCTTTTCGTGTTTCCGCTTGACACTTCGAGCGGGAACAAGCCTGAGTTGACAACTTCAACCACTATATTATTGGCGGCGGGGCCCCGGGAAGGCGGGGGGCCAGCTACAGTGACACCATGTCTTCATTGCCTGGGCGGCGTGGAAACCTTTCTGCCGATTCAAGCGCCTTGCCGAACGACGGCGCATGGGAAGGCCTAAGGCCAACGTCGCGTCGCGCGCAAAACTCCTTGTCTATGCCCACAACCAGGAGCCCACAAGGTCGAAGACATGATGCTGCGCTTAACAAACATCTGCTGCTGCCTAGGAGGCCCGCGTTTGAACACAGCGTGGAGACTTGGCCTTGCAGAAGGTTTGGGCGGAGATTCTCTGCAAACCTTCGCCACAAGAGCCATCAAGGAACCTCATCACGATTGCGGGACTTCACGTTGACGACATGTGAGGACGCGGCCTAAACAAGTCTGCGTCAGTCAAAAAGAGAACTCACTTCGTTTCGGTTTCTTTGGAGCCACCGTGCCACCTCTTCCTGAAACAACCATCCCTGGTCCCTGGACATGAATTTTGTAGCGGACGCCAAGCTCTTGCACGAAGCCTGACGAGACACCAAGCTCGCAAGACGAAAATAGAAGCCACGGTTGCCAAACAGAAAGCGTTACAATCTTTGGTTAGCTGCGGCCGCCCAGTTTCCATGGCAAGCTCTCCAGCTCTCGGGCGCCAGCGGCTTGCAAACATATTGTTAACACATAAAGTTACCTGCGATCCGACATGCCTTGCCAAGCGGCAAGGAAGAAAACTGCAGCTGAGCGGCTGCGGCTGGCAAGTGCTAGCTGCAGCTGCAGCAAGGAGAACAGCTTGGACTACGGGCACCAACCACACGGAGCTATAGCGCCAGGACAATTGAGACCCTGACTGACGCTTTTGAAAAAAGGGGTAAGCGACCCTTGTGAAGCTCAGAAAGGGAAATTGAAGGGCTCTGAGAGGGAAAATGATGAAAATGAGATGGAAAGTACAAGAAAACGAGAGGTTGATAGATGAAAGTGAGGAAGTGGGTGGATGACATGAAGCATGAGTTGCAAAGGAACCCTCTACAACCGTAGGGTGAACTCGTGCCACGAAGGCACGCATTCGCATCACGACGCTGCCACGTGCGATCCTGCCTGTGTAATCACAGGGGCCCTTGAGCATTTCATGGCTTGCGCGACAAAATGCTGTTTCCACTTGACACTTCAAGCAGTCAAACTTGGGTCGAAGTTACAACCATTCACTATACCTATAGTCTAGTGTGTAAATGTTGCATGCGTTCATGCTCCAAGCCGTGGACGATTTCGAATTGGTTGACAATATTGCTTGTTACCTGAAGCGGCAAACGTCCAAGTGAAAGGACACTTGCCAAACACCCCCCCTTCTTTTTATAAATGTCAGCCTCTGCTCCTTCGGGGACTTTGGTGACTTGCCGCACCTCAAAAGCCAAGGCTGCACAAACAAACACAAATGACACAAATATGCACAGTAACAATTGGAAGAACAAGTAACAGTCTTATTTCAATTCTACCTTCTTTAAGAACTTCTAATTTGACATTCAACACGTTTGCGCCCAGACTTCTGGGCTGCAAGCGACATCACCTTTTCTGCTCTTCAGCGAAATGGTGCAGCGGCTGCCTCTGTCCTGAGCTATTGAAGCGTCAGCGCTCTAGGGCCTAGTGTCCAATTGCAAGAGAATGCAAGTGACTGCAGTTTGATTACACAGTATACTAAGTAGATCTAAATTGATCTAACTAATAATTACAGTATATTGAGTGCATTCTTGTTGTTCTTCCGTTTCACTCCAGCTTTGCATTCGACCGAGCGCGGCCATCGTTCAGTCTGTTCCACATGGCCGCTGGCCTGAATTTCTCGCTCTTTCCACAAGTCCACCTTCTCATGCGCCTCCCATGACACAAGAAGAGCATCCCAAGGCGCAACAAGGTGTGCTACCAGGCGTGCCTTGTTGCGGGAGAGTGCCTGACCCAAGACTGACTCCAACGCCATGGTGAGCGCTCAAAGGCCAGAGGCACTATCTCATGGCCGAATTAGTTGCAAAAAAAACATGCAGATTTGAGCCAATCTCTTTGTAACCAGAGAAACACAATATCAGAGTCAGAAGCAGCAGTCTTTACTCACTACCCGACACTCCTCGGTTTCATCCATGACATAACTCCAAACAGAAGGTTTGAGGTCTTAGGCTTGTAGCTGGTCTGAGCTGAGACCGTCTGCTAGCTTTTGGTCCAACCTCTCTGGTCTATTGATACTGCCAAGCAACGGACTGACGTTGAAACATGTTGAAACTTGTTGAAGTTGAAACCAGCGATCTGTTATTGAAATGCCTTGTTGGGCAACCTTCTATTTTTGGAATGATACAAGTACTGTATGTTATCTGCATACAAGGTGTCCAATGGTTTGCTATGCTGCAGAGGTTCATCAAGGTCACACCCTAGATAAAGATTTCATGTCACTTCTGACAATTTTGGAGCAAGTACATTGATGTCATTATATATGAGTGCAGGACGAAATCCTGTAGCTAGCCTAAGGATGCCTAGGACATAGCCCAGAATGGGGCGCCGGCGCCCCCCATCGGTTATGCAGGTGTTGTAAATGAGGTAAAGGGCATCAGTATGTAGATGCGATGGCCCCGATCGGTTATGCACGTGTCCTACACCACGTCCACTCAAATCCTCATTTGGACACGCCCACCCTCTGGTTTGCAATACTGCAATCAGCCGCACCTTTTGCATAGAACAGAACAAACTCGTGGGTGATGCTGCAAGCCCGCGTGTCGAGAGGGCCAGTAGCTGCTTTGCCCCAGTGGAGGAGAACAACCAGGTTTTCCTTAGGGAAAAGCCAGTGAGCCGCTGCGATCAAGCAGCCCCTGTACATCCTCATAGTACTCCTCATTCTCTGCCCACTTTGGATCCACCTTAGGCAGCTTTCTCCCACCAATGGAATTCATCAAGCTTGATAGTTTTCGTGCAAACATGCGTGTAACACTGCGCAACTCTAGCTGCTTTATAGACTTCTCTTGGATCCAAGGAGCTTGAACCTGGAAATGAAGCTCAACAGACCTGCCACCCAGTGTTATCGTGGAAACCTTCAGTGACTACTTGATCTGTAATCGGTATAAAATCACTTGATCAACAAGCTTCAGCGCCGGCTCTCCACAGGCTAGCACGACCACAGAGCAGTGTGAAGTCAGGAGCAGAACAAGCCAAACCAACGAAAGCGATTTCACAGGCGGCAACAACATAGCAAAGCATTGCAAACATGAAGATGGTCAAGTCCTTCGAGTCCTTCCCTTTATTGACTCGTGTCTCGTGCCAAAATGCGAGCCTCCCAAAATTCAGAGTCCCTGAGATCTCCCTTTCTGCATCCTCCGTTATCTGCCTCAACCTCACGCCAATTTGGCGACTTTAACATAATATTGTGTCTTAAAGTCTGTTCGCTTGTTCATCTGCACCATCGCATGCATGCAAAAACCGCCAAGGGTGGATCCAGGCTCGAACAATCCGGCTTTGCCCCTCAGTGGCCACAACCACCTGCCACATTTTACCACAAAGGAATTTCAGCAGAGTTTGTGAAGATGAACGACGCATTGCCCTGCGGACCCTGGGCATACTTGATTGCCCTTGCAGAAATCCCCATGCCCTGCAATGCCCTGCAAACCTTTCAAAATTGGCATCCCTTTAGGCATTCTTAGGCGCACACCTTTTGGCCTAGCAAAAGTTTGCCATCCGGCTCTTGCCGCCAAACAGCATTTACAACCTAAGAAGCTCATAGAAGCTCTGGAAGCATTGAAATGAAGGTCCGTGACGCTCGAGGTTCTCAAGGCTTGGAGATTCTCAGGCTCGTGCTGTCAAATGATAGGGAACTTCTTCTCTCAATACTCCAAACCTTGCCAATTTTGACTGTCAATACATCCACCAGCAGTGTGCAACATTTGAACCGGAATGACATGGCAGATTCGCAGCTTCTCCCGTGTGATCTCAGATGCCACAACACGCGCAGGAACATCGCTGATGTTCTCCAAAGGGTAAATCGGACTGGCAAAACAAATATTTCGGCCAGGAACTAAGCAACAGCGAACTTCAGCAAAAGGAAAAGCTAAAGCAAAAACGATCGGCATCTGCTTTGGAAGAGTCTCGCCTCTGCTTTGGAAGATTCTCGCAAAGCCACCTCTTCATGGGCATGAATGAATCCACTTAATCCAGGCGTTTTACAAACTGGCCTTTTTATTGGGGCCAATGATACTGGATCTTTCAGAACTGACGTGGGCCAAATATTGTCCAGAATTTCCTGGCAATGTCTGAAGATATGGAAACCATCGCGCCAAGCTCTCGACTCTAGACATAAGTTTCAATCCAGGAAGAAGGTCATCATCATCCGGGTCTTCGAGTCCATTTGAGGTATTCACTGCACTTACCCTAGGAAGTGAATTTCCACGTTCCCCAAATGCCCACCAAACACAAATGTGTTGAACGTAAGAAGGCATTAAACCTCAAATCAATTGTCAATCATGCAGGCATAATGGGCAAACGACTAACAGTCTTGTTCCAGTACATCAGCCAGTCCTCACCATCCTGGGTTCTTCCCAAGTCACTGGAAAGCTGCTCCTGGGAGAAGGCAAAATATTAACGTAACATGTTTCATGGAAAATAGTTCAAAAAAATAGAAAAATGGGAAGTGTAGCCTCCAGGGAAACTTCCGAGCTACAAAACAAATGAATGGCCATGAAGAATGGCCCAAGAGCAAGCTGCATGAGTGGATAGGATGCACGCGTTGGTATTCGATGTGCAAGATGCTGAGTTTAGGGAGGACTGTGCCATGCTGTCCCTACGGGTTGGCATGCACAGCTCTGCGACGGTCAGTCCCTCATCTTGAGGGTGAAGTCTTCGACGTCAACCGCCATGTCTCGCAGAAGGTCAACCTTGTTCAGGACAACACTGACCTCAAGCGATTTCCCAAGCTTCTAAAACGTTTGAGCGAGCTTCTCGCACTAGTCACTAGTCTTTCACCTCTCTTTTCTGCGGGCCTTCATGTTTGATCGCTTGAGCTTTCTCAAGAAGGCGAGTTCTTCTGCCAGTTCTGGGTGCAACCACCTTTAAAACACAAAGAGCAACTTAGCATGAAACGCAAGGCAGTGATGCATCAGCTCTCTCATGAATAAGGGCCAAACCATGAATCTTCCACAACAGCCCCGATGGAGACTCCGTCGAGCTCAGGACCTAATTGTTTGTGTTGTGTTTTGTCCCTTCCAGTTCGAAAGGACTATCTGCCGAGGCATCGTGTTCAAGAAACATTAATCAGCTTTGACACTTGGTGGCATGTAGTCACCATAGAGAAAGCATTTGGAGGCATCCAGGACCCAGAAAACTGCATCAGAAGCCTGGAAACTAAATGCGAAAGTTACTCGCTAGGTCAGAAAGTCAAAAGTCAGGTGAAAGACACGAATCTGGGAGCCTTGGTCTGCTTCCATGCTGTCTTGACCATAGCCTCAACAAACGCAGTTCGATAATATGCATAAGTCACATTTGCATCTCTTATGTAGCCAAACGTCATTTGACATGACTCCCGCTTTTGGGTGAGGACCATGACTCAGCCGCTGAAGTCACGGCATAGTAGGAAAAATTTTGTGTTCCCCAATGGAAAGACTGCCGCATGGAAACGCAATGATTTGGTAATGCTTTTGATGTGCTCTGAAATTCCTTCACTCACACAATTGTCATGTGTTCAGAACAAGCTTCCTGCGTGGAAACGCAATGGTTTGGCAGCGGTGTTACGCTCTTTGTGGTCCCTTGACATCTCTTTGGACCAGGCCCTGGACACTGTACTTAACTCACACAAGGTTTAAAGAGGTATCGGAATGGGGTGAACGAAATGGTGAACCAGGTCAGAACCCTTGCCAGCAAGGAAAACCCTCAGAATGAAAACGCCTTTATTTACCTCATCATGTATGTGCGCGCATCCCCTTCCACCACCACCGTAGCCAGCACATTAGTTTGTTGTCCTTCCTTCCTTCCTTCCTTCCTTGCTTGCTCGCTTGCTTGCTTGCTTGTTTTTTTGCTGTCTGGTGTTCTTTCTTTCTGTCTTTATTTGTTTAATCCGGTCTACCTATTAAAAAATGCGCCCGCCCCCCCCCTAATAAGGAAGCCTCGGTCGTCTTTTTAAATACGGGGTCCCTGAAATCGGGGTGGTCCAAAATAGGGTCACCTGGAAAAAGTTTCAAAGCCAAAAAGTAATCCAGAAACATTCTATATAAAATCCTTTATTAAGCTCGTACCAAAAATGCAAAAAACCTCCAGATCGAAGGGTCTCCCTTTTCCCCTACAAGAACCTTCATTAGAATAGTGATTCTTCAGTAGACTAACAGCTAAAGCTTTCGAAAGGTGATGTCGCTGTGCCATGCGGTGTTGCATGACCTCGGTGGCAAGTGCGTTTGCGTGAGTCCGTGCCATTGGGGGAAGGAAAGCCTGCTGGTATAAGCGCGGCGTGTCATGGTGGATAGACAGGGCGGACAGAGGTGGGCAGTTACGGTTGTTTTTGGAACCTAATAAGAAAAACCCCTCCCAAGTCGGCCATGTTGTTAGTTTAGTAGCGGCTTGAAAGGGCGGTAAATTAAATACAAATATAAACCGTATTTAGGGGGGTCCGACATGACTTTTTTTAATTGGGGTCCGTTTTTTAATAGGTACTCGGGACTATTTGTTCCTTCTTTCTTTGTTTGCTTGCTTGCTTACTTGCCTGCTTGCTTTATCTTTCTCTTGTGCGTTCTTTCTTTCCTTCCTTCCTTCCTTGCTTTCTTTCTTCCTTCCTTTCTTTCTTTCACAATCGGCGTTTTGTCTGCCACTGCTGCCTTCTCTCCTGGCTACTTATTGGGTTTTATCTCAGATGCTTTTGTCTTTAGACTTAGTTGCTATCTGCGGTCTATGCGTGTAATTGACATCCCCTTCCACCTCCACCACAGCTGCAGGAAAAAAGAACTTCAAACGACAAATGTCAGGCTTCTCCCCAACCAAACACGACATCGCCACGACTTCCATACATTCAAATTCCAGTAAAGACGCTTCAAAAATAGAAAAGCGCCACGACTTCAATATTAGATTGTACTGTATCATTTTCCATATGAATCAGCACATGACTTCCAGCACCCTCCTATTACTAAATACGTCAGCAATAATTTTGTTGGTCGCTCATATATCATCAAATACACACATGCCCAACTACCCACATTACACTGACATGCAAGTCCAGGGATTCAGCCTTGTGCAAGCGGTTTTGTCGGAACAATCGCTTTCGCTTGTGCCTTGAAACGTCCGAGACACAAAGAAAACATAGACTGACGAAGACAAAGAATCCACAATACAGACTGACAAGCGCTCCTGAAACCGAACTCGGAGACATTCTGTCCGATGTCCATGATGCCAGCAGTATCTGCAAATATCGCCTCTAGACAGCTCTAGGTTGGTCAAAGCCCAAGACTCAGTGATCTATGTGTAATATATGACATCTTATATAACAGCTTGAACTTTGTTGAAGATTGAATTCCTTCTTTAGGTCTTGGGCTTGCGTAGTCAGTGGCATTCCAGGTCTTGGGGCCAGCAAGGCCAAACCTTTCGCATATCACTCTTGTCCAGGAAGCTGGAAAGCTGAACAGCTGGCGCTGTACTAAGTGGAATACCCAGAATCCTTTGTCTCGTCGTTTGTGGCTTTGCGGACACGATTGACACCTCCAGTGACACTATGGTCAAAGTGTGAGCGTGCCTCCTACTTGCTTACTCTATGCCAGCTCAAGATTGTTTAAAAGAGTCAGCATGGGTTTTGTGAAACATAACAGCCGGCTTACAGTACTGCTCTGGTGCAAACATTGCATGTGGAAAGGCATGACCAACTTGTAAAAGACTATTTTGGCAACAGCACTGCTCACTTTTCGAGTGGTGAGTATGATCCCAGGACTAGTTTTTTCAAAGTACAAAGTCAAGTCTAATACTGACTGCAATCGATTCGGGAGCCTTTGTTCCAACAAGCTCGTTGACGAGGGATGACTTTCCAGAATTGGGGACACCCAGCACTGCAACTTGTCCACTTCGGTCGATGTGTTTGATGTCTAAAGCCTCAGGGCCACAAAAATGACCAAACAATCTTGCAGGGCTTCATTCTGCGCAAGCATGTACGTCCAGCCTCTGCCTCAAGACTCTCATCAGCAACTTCATCTGCCTCACGGTCGGATCTCAACTATCTTTGGTGAATAATGACTACGCGGTAGCAGCAACAGTTGCCAACAAAGTATACATATGGTGCCCCACACACTGAGAAGAGTTATTGGGTGGAGCTGTCAAGCGATGTCAAAGCTCAGAACCTCCTAGGTGCACATCCTTTGCGGTAAACGTCTGCACGCGACACCGTCTCCACAAGTACGTCATGAACCTGATGAGTCTGCAACAGCCTGAACAATGGGATTATCAACAAAAGAACGGTCTGATCATCCTCAAGCCACAACATGCTCAAACCGTGAAAGCCTCACAGTTCCAAAGCTCGAGGACACGAAAAGCGATCGACGTAACGTGCAAAGTCTGCCGACCCCAAAGTCACCTGAAACAGCCTGGTCATCTAGAGGAGAAGGTGATTACTCAACATCACACAACCAGGTCGAAGTGCAGGTACAAGAGTTGGCGTCCCAACTCTCTTCCAACGGATTTCCGTAGCTTCGTTGGCACGGATAGGAAATCAGTCTCCGTGCCCCCTGCTGGCTGTTGGTCAGACTATCAAGCATTCCACGTGTAACAGCGGTTTACACTCACACACCACACACACACAAACACAGAACCTAACTACAAAATTTCATTGTTACATAATAAAGGTTTTCTCGCAGTTTTTCTCACATTTCCTTTGTGGAAAAAGGGTTATGGCCCATAACTTATGGGGCATGAGTTTTTCAGTGATTCAATAAAAGCCACAAATCTACATCTGAAGCATTTCCATTGGAGTGGTGGGGGCTCAATTGAAATTGTGTGTTTCCTTGCAAAAAAAACATTGGTAAAGCAAAAAACACGAACAATTGAAGTTTCTTTGAAGTCATGTCCTTAACTCCATTATATATAAATTATATAAAGTATTGGTTTGAATACAATAATGATGCTTAGTTGGTGTCGGATCAAAATCCCTTAAGAAGCCTTCTCCCTTCTCAATATCAATTAAACTAGAGGTGTTTAGTGTTCTGTGTGTTTCCAATTTAAAAAAGGTAAAGTAGTTCCAACATAAAGTAGGATATCGCGGTGAAATGTTGTACTTAAACCAGTTGAATTATTGCCATTGTTACATAGTTCCCTAAATTCCATTGCAATATGTATTTGTCATTGGTTCCCATAGAAATCATTTTTCAGTCCGTTCCAACATCAATAACTTGATTTATAATTAGTTTAGCTTGCTTCCAAATACCATGCAGCCTGTTTAAAAAGAAATTAAAATAGCGCCTTTTGTTTTAATGGGGTTTCGATTAGGGACTCGAGACTCGTATTGAAATACGGAGTTACAATCAAATAAATAACTGAAAACCAATTTGTGTCCAAATGATTTTGCTTAAGAGCTAGCATTTGGGTTCCAATCAAAATCCCTTCTAAAATCTGTCAGAATCAATGAACAGGGCGACGTTTCATTATGTCACTTCCTTGCTAAAATCAATTGAGATATTGACGTGTGATGGCCCCTTTCAAATCCCTTGTAACACCAATTATGGAATTTGATGTCTAATGTGTTTCCAAATAAGACTAAATTGAAAATGATCTTTAGTTTCACACTCACTTCGGCTCATCACTCTTTTTGCGCGCGAAGCACGAAGTCCTTGGTTTTTGCACTTTTGTGCA